GTTTCCTGATGAGTTTCTGGTCTCAGTCTCTAGTTTCAGTCTTCTTCCATACAGCATGATGTCCATTTAGTAAATGATGGTCCCATTTAGAGTAAAGCAGGGTATGCTTTATGGTTTTTGTTGTTTATTTGTTTATTTGCCGTAGTGTGTGTCGGTGCTAAATGCTCGTCCCCGGACATTAACTAATGCTATGTGGGGGATCCCTCATTAACAAATAAACCTGGTCTGCCTTCTGTTCCAGATCAACACTAATGGATTTGTGGCCTTCGCCGAGCCTCCGGCGGAGGTTCAGTACCTGGGGAAGATGCCCTCCAGTTTCAATATGATTGCAGCCCTGCTGGGAGACCTGGACAACAGCGATGGAAAGGGGAGGGTTTACTTCAGGGAGGACAGCAGCCCCGATGTACTGAGTCGCTCCGCCGAGCACATCAAGCGAGCTTTCCCCAGAGACGACGGAGTGGAGCCCACCAGCGCCCTCGTCGTCACCTGGGAGAACATGGTCGCCCAGGGGACCTTTGCACGGGGAGACGAACTGGACACTGAGGTGAGCGAGCATGTTGGGTTTTTTAGGGAGCAGGTAGTTTGTGCCTGAATGTGAGGGTGCAGGATTATGGCAGGAACAGAGAGGAGATGAAATACTTGAACTATCCTACTTACAAGTACTTGGATGGGAGGAAGAAAAGTTGTGAAATGCAGAAGATGATGGATGTTTGTTCTCGCAGTGAGTGACCACATTGTAATTACCACTGCTGCTCGCCACAATTGTCCCTGAGTCAGCAACCAAACAAACACAATGAAGAATTACTTTACTTGCTATTGGAGCATGGAACAAAAAGGGGGCAGGACTTAGAAGGGTCTCCTTTTGTACTTTCAGAGAAACACGTTCCAGCTGGTCGTGGCCTCCATGGAGTCGTCCTCCTGCGCCATCCTCCTCTACCCCATAGGTGGCCTGCAGTTCCTCTCCACGTCAGTCGGGGGCAAGACTAAGCTCCTGGAGGCCGGCTTCAATGAAGGCCTCGTAAAGAGCTGGTGGTCGTGGAGCGCCAGTCAGGGGGCGTACTTCCGCACCACCACCGATGACGAGACGTCCATCAGGGACCTTACTGAGTATATAAGTTTTTATGCTAATATCAAGTATCTGCAGTGTTTGTTCCCCTGCAAGATCTTCAGAATCTGAATGCCTAAACACAAGTGCTGGGAGTTTCAGCCAAACTCTGATGTTTCTTCTGTCTTGTATCCAACCAGGAAGACAACCTCAGGACAGGCTGGAGTTTGGGTGTACGAGATCGGCTCCTCGCCATTCTTTGCCTCCATTACACCGGGAATGGCCTCTAGCCTTTCTGATGAGGAGAGTACAACTGTACCTCCTGTGACCCTGTTGCCAAGGCAACCCGACGAGCAAACAACGAGGGACTTCTCAACCCACGAACCCCAGGCGGTACCCAAAGAGAAGGAGGAGTTCCCGACGCCGGCTCCTGAAGAGAACCAACCCAGCTACCCAGACGCTGTGACCGCCACGCCGGGGGAAGCCAAACCGGTAGTTGAAGAACCGGACAATGAAGAAGAATACCCCGAATCTGAGACTGTCTCATCGACATACACCAACCCCGAGAGGGCTCAACCAAGGTACCTGGACCCATCTGAGCCCAGATACCCCGTCTCTGAGCCGCTGCAACCGAGATACACCATCCCTGAAACCCCTGAGCCCAGACACCCTCCCAATCAGCCGAGGTACCCTGATCCACGCTACGCTAACCCTGAACCAGTCCAACCAATGCCACCCTATTCCCGGCCCCACCAACCCCAGATCGTTGTGGTAGATGAAGACGAAAACCTCGATGTGAACGGTAAATCAAACATTTTTTGGCTTTAAAGTTCTTGTTAAAGTTTTATTTTTATTGAATCGACGCTGATTGTCTCGTTCTCGGGTGGTTTTCACAGTATTCAGGTACAATTTGGAGACGTGTGCCCACAACAGCCACAAGTGCTCGGCTTTCGCTGACTGCCGGGATTACAGCGATGGGTACTGCTGCCATTGTAGGCCTGGTTTCTATGGCAACGGGAAGGACTGCGTCGCAGATGGTGAGAATCATCATCAATGTTACTTAAACTGTTAATGGTGAAGATGTTCTTAAGTTCATGTGAAGGGACTAAAAAACTCCACATTCTCTGGGTACAACCAGATTCTACTGACTGGTTTTATATTATGGTCTGCGTCAATACTGGATTCTGATTGGCAGCTGGGTGTCCATTAATACCTGATAATACATTAATACCAACCAAGTAGTTCCACTGAAACAGTTTAACATTCTGAATTAATCCGCTGAAATAAATCCAATAAAAACAAAATGTGAACATCTTAAATATATCATAGTTCATGAAAATCTCGCTTGGCTGATAGCGAGCTAGTCTACGCGTAATGTTAGCGCAGCTTAACATTTCTTCTAGATATAGGAGCGGTCAGCTGTAGATTAGCAAGACACCAGTTTCATGTTTTGGTTCTGTAGAAAAAATCGATGAGACATTCTGTTAATTGAGGGAAACCAGCTGCAGGAACAGAAGCTAACCCAGGAAATGGCGAGTTTGTCCTGATTTGGCTCTGATCCGTAAGTGGAACTACTGAACTTTGTTGTTTTCCAGGAAAACCACAGAGAATGAGCGGGGAGGTGAACGGCCGAGTGTTTGTCGGGAACTCGACTTTCCCCGTAGAGCTCGGTAACAACGACTTGCACTCGTACGTGGTAGCCAATGACGGACGGGCTTACGTGGCCATTAGCAACATCCCCAAGAGCCTGGGTCCCTCCCTGCAGCCGCTGTCCTCCCTGGGAGGAGTCATCGGCTGGGCTTTCGCCCTGGAGCAGCCCGGCTACCAGAACGGCTTCAGTGTCACTGGTGAGGGGACATTGTTGTGTGTTGTTGTATATATAATGGCTATATTCACAATAATCTTGATAAATGTTGGTTGACCATTTGATGTCGCACATCCATGCAGGTGGCGTGTTTTCCCGTCAGGCCGAGGTGATCTTCCAGCCCGGCAACGAGCGTCTGAGCATCAAGCAGCGGTTTGAAGGAATCGATGAGCACGACCACCTGGTGGTTCGCACCGACCTGGAGGGACGTCTGCCCGCCATCCTGCAGGGCTCTTCGGTGCAGATCAACCCGTACAAGGAGATCTACCAGTACGACAGGAACTGTAAGGACGGATACCAACTAACACACCAAAGGGGTCAAACCAATAATTCAAAGTCATACTGGATGTAAAAGTGTTTCCATTTCCTCCTCTCAGTCATCACTTCTTCCTCCAACCGCGACTACACTGTCACTTCCCCTGACGGCACCGTCCAGACCAGAAGCTACCAATGGCGCCAGACTGTCACCTTCCAGAGCTGCCCACACGACGAGGCCACCAGGCCGGCGCCGTCCACCCAGCAGCTCAGCGTGGACCAGATCTTTGTGATGTTCGATGCTGACAACAACCTGGTCCGCTACGCCATGAGCAACAGGATCGGCTCGGTCCACAGTGAGTGAATGTTAACAATTAAAGTAGATTAGCTAACTAAAAGGTGTGACTGTATATAAATGTCTCTTTCATCTTTTAACCATCTTCAAAATGTGGTCGTCTTTTCAACATAGATTAGCCTAGCATAGCATATCTAAGAACAGGGAAGGAGGAAGTTGACTGACTTGCTCAACTGTGATTGGATCACAGAGTGAAAAGGGGCGGGGCTTAGGGAGAGTTGATTGCTGAGGGCGATGTTTCACTTTAAAGATTTAATCAGCTGATACCAATGACTTGCTGTTATCATTGTACATCCCATATAAAGGTAAATAAATTAATATTATCTTATATTCAGTGAAAAAAATGTCTGATATTTGCTGCTGTATGCGATTGGCTACCTGAAGAGCGAGTTCACAGATTGTTCAGGTCCTTGAAGAGGAGACGTCCATGTCTCCTGGTCGTCTGTCGGGGACGGTCAGAGTACAAAGATGTGTGTTATTACCCCGAGGAATGCACTGAAACACGCCTCTGACGGTTTAGTGCCTCTGCGGTGTTTGCAGTGGAACATCAGAGGAAGATAAACAGTAACGTGAGCCCGGCTGTATTTCCTCAGCTGCAATCAGAGAGGCTGTGAGAGCGTTGGCAGGGGGTGAAGGTCAGCGGCCGAGGCCAACGAGATACCAACCTCCAGTCTGCTGCGGGGGACAGGTGGATGGGGGACGGGCACCAGAAGGGAACTTCTTTAATACTTTTAAATAAAAAGGGGGGTTAAAGGTAAAAGAGTTACACAAGCAAACACAACTGGAACATCTGTTTGGTGTTTCCTGTTAGGAGCTCCAACAACTCCAGCTGCATCATGGGAACAAGACGACTCTATTGAGTCATTTTACCCTCCTGTAGATAATCAATAAACCCTTTCAGTCATTGATTAAGCAGAAGTAAACATGTTTACAGCCTTCGAGCAGCGCGCTCTGTCCCGGTTGGATGTTTCTAACCTGCAGCTGTTCCCTCAGGCAGCGTCCCGGAGCAGAATCCATGTTTCACCGGCAGACACGGCTGCGACATCAACGCTGCGTGCAGACCGGGCGAAGGCCTCCAGTTCACCTGCAAATGTACGAATGGTTTCGCTGGGGACGGACGCTATTGCCACGGTAACGCAACCTCTGCACGCTCACAAAGGAAAACGTGTTGAATATGAACTTTTTGGTGGAGTAATATAACCAGTAGTGTAACTAATTAGTGTTGGCAGTAAAGTTTATTTTGTCTTCCAACATCTTCGAACCACGATGGAAAACGACGTGTGTGTGTGTGTGTTGAGTATCTCCTCTATTGATCATTGATCTCCATGTCTGTGTGTTATTGGCAGATATCGACGAGTGCAGGGAGACTCCTCAGGTCTGTGGGTCCAATGCCGTCTGCAGCAATCAGCCTGGGACTTTCCGCTGCGAGTGCGTGAGAGGCTTCGTGTTCGCCAGCGACGGAAAGACCTGCATCGGTACGTCTGAGTGTGTGTGTGTGTGTGTGTGTGTGTGCACAGCTGTGTGGGTGGGCGGAGTGTGTTTGAAGAGTCCCCTGATGCACATACAGATGTTCTAACAGCCGCCAGCAGACATAAACAATAAAGGTTTTGTACCATTTTTCAATCTGATTGTTCTTTGTTGAGTTAAAACTTACGGAGGCCCCGAAGTGCAAAGAAAAAGTAAAAAAAATTAAAGCTTTAGATAGAACAGTTGGCTGTATATGTGTGTATACCCAGCTAACAGACGATCTGAAGAAATATTGATGATTTAATCAATCACATATATCAATATTTGACTGGAAAAGCCCCCAAATGAAGATGATTGAACTCATTATTGTGGCACATTAATAAAGCATTAAATAGAAATAACTTATGGTGGCATCAGAAATCTCTTCAGACATTTTTCCAAATACATGTTTTTTTTCATTGAACTTAAGCTGATCACTGAGTATATCAGAATCAGAATCAGAATCAGAAATACTTTAATAATCCCCGTGGGGAAATTACTTGAAAGGTGGGTACAAGAAACAGGAAAAACAAGAGGAGAGGGGAGGGGAAAAAAGCCGCTCCCAAACTCTGCTCCAT